ATTTTCTTTAGAAAGAAATTGCAGAAGAGTGTTTTTTTCAAATGTCATGTGCTTCATTTGGGTTCAGGGAGTGGGTGATCAGGGAGGGGCAGGGAAGAGAGGAGGGAGACAGTAGGGAGAGGGCAGGGCCTGGGCAGAGTGGAGGTGGGGCCTGGGGCAGAGCAGAGGTGGAGTATAGGCAGGGCTCCAGGTGGGCTGGGGAGTTAGCCATCCCAAGCGGCAGCTTCACCAGCTGCCCATGACAGCAGGTAAGAGGGGGTCGGCTCCCGCACATCCAGCACACGCTGCAGTCTCCTTAGGCAGGGGCCGTATTCACAGAGCCGAATGCGCCAGCAGTGCGCATCCTGCATGAGGGAGACGGTATGGGGGTCTCTGCGGGGAACTGTGACTCTCTGCTGCCGTGAGGCGGGCCGGGCGGCTTGGTATCCTTTGATGCCTCATGCCGCCCCCCGTGGGCTGCCGTCGGGCAGAGGGGCACCAGTTTAATAATACTGAATAAGGCCACATAAATCCTAAGGACAGCCCTGCCCATGCAGGAGGGCTTTGGCTTTCTATCCTGGGCCCCAGTGAATCTAATGCTAGCCCTGCTTGGCGGCCCCCGTGAAACCTGCTTGCGACTCCCCAGGAGGACCCGGACGCCTGGTTGAGAACCAGTGTTTTATTGGACCAATTTCTGTTGATGAAAGAGACAAGCTTTCATGCTCCACAGAGCTCTTCTTCAGGTCTGGGAAAGGTAACGAGAGTGTCACAACTACATACAAAGTAGAACAGATTGTTAAGCATAAGGAGTTAACAGATTGCAAGAAACCATTCAGAATGAAGTGGGCCATTAACACTTCTGCAGTCATAGGACAAAGGAGAGTTACAAAGAGGGTTACAGATTGTTGCAATGAGACATAGAATCCATGTCTCTATTGAGTCCATGCTTTTTGGTGTCTAGCAGAGTTCTGAATTGAAACTTTAACTTATTAGTTGTTCTAGACCATGTACTGAATGTAAATAGTCTCACTCACATTTCCTACACATAAGGTTGTAAAACTGTCATTCTTTCTATAACTGAGATTTCAGCAAAACTATGGAAACCTCTATGTATTCATAGATTATTTTTTTTCAAGGTCAGAAGATCAGCTAGTCTGACCTCCTGCCTAGCACAGGATGGCTTTGGTTTTTCTCTAGTGTTTAATTCACAACAGAAATTACATGTCAGCTCCCCATGTGAAACGTGATTGTGTAGCAGTCATCCAGCAGAAATGGCAATCCTGTCAGCCCCTGCTCTCTCCCGTGCTGGAGGTGATGTGTTGTTGCTGCACGTGGAAGTTTTGGTTCAGTTTACCATACCTTTCTGATTAAAAAACCC